TAGGCTTTGCTCTTTTCTCTTGTTTCTCTGCTCTATTTCTGTGACTGATTTATTTAATTGGAGGGTGTTATCTTCAATCTCTGAGATTCTTTCTTCTGTTTGATCTACCCTGTTCTTGAGACTTTCCACTGTATTTTGTAGTTCCCTGAATTGATTCTTCATTTTAAGCTGTTCGGTTAAACTTTTCTTCATTGTGACGATTTCTTTAGTGAACTTTTTTTTTTCAGATCTTGGAGGTTTTTTGTGGTTTCTTTGTGTTGGTTATTGAGTTGTTCTTGCAGGTCATTCAATTTTCTGATGATCCACATTCGAAATTCCTCTTCAGTCAACTTGGTTGCCTGATTTGGTTGGTGTCTGTTTCTAGGCGGCTGGTGCTTGTCTTTGGGGGTGTGTTTTCTGTTTGGGTCTTCATATTTCTTGAGTTTCTTCGCTGATTTCTTCCCATATTGATCATTTGTTGTTTCTTTTCTTTAGGTTTTCATTTGGGTATTCACACACCTTGTTTAGTTTCTGAGCCAGTAGGTGGTGTGTGTGGGTGAGATTCGACCACTCCCTGTATAATGAGTCAGTAGGTGCCATGAAAAAGCTATGCAGGATGCCCTCTCTGTCAGTAGGTGGTGCTTGCTTGGAGGAACAGGCTACGCTGTTGTTTTTGTGTCCTGTTATCAGCTCTTGTTCCTGTAGAGAGAACTCTAGTGCCTCAGGTGGTGGGTGGGGCCCTGGGACTTCCAAATGTGTCCTTTTCTCCCCTTAAGTGATGGCTAGTCTAGGAGAAAGTCTAGGCAGAGCTGGGTTGAGTAAGCCTGCCCTCAGCACCAGCAATGTCGTCAGCAGGGGTCAAAGTTCTGTTCTCTGCTTCCAGGAAAAGCTGTCAGGGAGGGGCTGGAATAGCTCCACTCCACCAGAAAGTCTGCCTGTGGAGGTGGGGCTGTCTGAGACCCGCAGTCTGGAGCGGGCCTCGCTTCTTTCCACCACTCCCTACTCTGCTGCTATTCCTGGGACTCTGCCAGTAGGCCAGACCACACACCACCAGGCCTACCCTGCCTGTGATGCCAGCCAGGAGGTTCCCTTCAAAGGAACGCCACCTGGGCTGGGCGTACGGCCTCCTTTTGGGAAGAGGGTTGCCCTCTAGGACTCTGATCTGCCCCTGAAGGCACACACACCTCAGTAGGTTGTTCAGGTATATCCCTCTGTTCCCCGGGCAATGTGAGACCTTGGTGCACGGGATGTGGTCTGCAGGTCTGACCTCTGGGTCCCAGAGTTCAAACTGTATCCCCGCCAGGGAGAGGAGTGCCAGTCCCAATCCCCCACAGCGAGCCCCAGCTAGGTTTATGTCTCTCAGCCTCAGGGTCTGCCCCATTCTCCTGGGATCACCATGCCAGCAGCACCTGGGAGGGCTGGCGGGTAGGGAGCTCACAGTCTAAGTTCCCCTTAGTCAGTGTAGGGCCCCAAAAGGGAAGGTCCCGTTCTCTGTAGGTGCCTCTGGCTGGTGGCTATATTATCTCTGTGGGAGGCCTCGGGTAGGATCGGTGGAGGGGAGAAGGAGGCAATGTGGTGCCTGCCACGCGGCTCGGGTCTGTGCACACGGAGGTGCCCGGAGGGAGTTGGGAACCTGGTGCCGCGTCCACTACTGGCTTACTGCTCACTGGTGGCAGCCGTTGCTGGGCTGGTGTCCGCAGGTCTCTCCACCCGCTGGGGAGCCCACTAGCAGTCCAAGATGCAGGGGAGGGTAAGCAGCCGGGCCACCTACCTTCCCACTGGTCTCCGGGCTGCTCCGGGGGTCCCACCTTGCAGTTCTCCTCCGTGACATCCTCCTGTGGAGTCTCCTGTCATCTCAGGTACTCCTCCTTCCGTCCCTTGTCCAAAGTAGGCTCGTCTTCTTGCTTCTTTCTTCTAATTTCTCCTAGAATCTGTCTTTTCTGCAGAGACACTCTGTCTGGCAGTGTTTCTCGTCCACCATCTTGATTCCCTCCGTGTTTTTATATTTTTTAGACAGAGTCTCACTCTGTTGCCTGGGCTAGCATGCTGTGGTGTCAGCCTAGGTCACAGCAACGTCAAACTCCTGGGCTCAAGCCATCCTACTGCCACAGCCTCCAAAGTTGCTGGGACAACAGGCATGTGCTACCGTGCCCGGCTAATATTTTTTTTATATATTTTTAGTTGTCCAGCTAATTTTTGCTATGTTTTTAGTAGAGACAGGGTCTCTCTCTTGCTCAGCCTGGTCTCAAACTCCTTAGTTCAAACAATCCACTCTACTCGGCCTCCCAGATTGCTACAATTACAGGTGAGAGTCACCACGCAAGGCCTAGACGTTCTATTTAAATGTGAATATCTACTTACTATTTTGGGTCCTCTTCCTGGAGGAGGCACATGCTACCCGCATCCTGTCAGCCATCTTGATCCTATCCCACGTGTTCATTATTTGTGTTATAATTGGTAAGCTGAATCCACTGTATACTATTCATTGAAATTGATTTTATATCAGTGCTTATTTCTGTCACCTTATTCCCTACTCTCTAATTGTGTTCGGATTACTACATCTTTGTGTCATCTCTTTCCCTTCAATAGTTGAAGACTGAATGTCTTCTAACTTTTGTATGTTATGTATCTAACTTAATGAGAATACCTCATAGACAAAATATTCTGACAAGTGGAAACTCCTGAACACTAATTTTCAGCTCATTTGACAATAATCCATTTGCACACATCATTGGGTTTCAGGGTCAAAAATCTTTTTTTCCTCCCAAAAATCATCATTCCAGCTATTTTTATGAGATTAAATTAAAGACAATTCAATCAGATAAAAAGTGTTAACATGTGACTGGTCTTGAATTTGCTTTAGAGAAATTCAGTGCTCTTAGATGAAATTGGATGGGCCATGTTTGATAGTGTTTCAAGCTGGCTAATGGACACATGGGGTTTATTACATTATTCTCCCTAGCTTTGTTCAAGTTCAAAAATCTCTGTAATCAAAAGTTTAAATAAGAGAAGGTAGAATGACATGAACACTAATCTGTGTTAGGACATAACTGAGGGAAGCGGCAGTACTTCTGCTAAGAGTCAAGAACAAAGATGTTCTTCTGGCATAGTAATCTATTTCAAAACAACTCTTCTTTCTTTTAGATCCTTAATCTGCTCACAGTCATGGGTCAGCTTTTCTCTGCTACGTCTCATGATGAACAACACCAGGATTTGGCCTCCAGCTTTAGTGCATATTTTAAGAATGTCAGCGTGGGAAGCAACATCATCTCTCAGGAAACCATAGAATTGATCGAGTTACACTTGAAAAAAGGAAACATTCAGGCGGCAAACTCTGTAATAAGTGCTGTGTTAAAAGAAATTGATAATGCCCCACTCAGCATTGCTGTGACAGGGGAGACTGGAGCAGGAAAGTCCAGTTTCATCAATGCCCTGAGAGGACTTGGACCTGAAGACGAAGGTGCGGCTCCCACTGGAGCGGTGGAGACCACCATGGAGAGGATTCCATACACACACCCAAAGTTTCCCTGTGTGACACTATGGGACCTGCCTGGCATTGGAACCAGGAATTTCAAGCCAAAAGATTTTTTGCACAATGTAAAATTTGGCGAATATGACTTCTTTATTATTGTTTCTGCTACACGCTTCACAAAAACTGACATAGACCTGGCCAAAATGATCAAAACCATGAAGAAGAATTTTTACTTTGTGAGATCCAAGGTGGATATTGATTTAAGAAATGAACAGGAGAGTAAACCAAAATCCTTTACGGAAGAGGGAGTCCTGCAGCAGATCAGAAACAACTGTCGTTATATTTTCAAGGAGAATAAGATTGATGAAGCACCAGTCTTCTTAATCTCCAACAGAGATTTATCAGCATATGATTTCCCAATCCTGATTGACACCCTATTAAAGGATCTCCCTGCTGAAAAGCACCACATTTTTCTGCTTTCCCTGCCCAATATTACTGATGCAGCCATTGAAAGTAAGAGGGATTCTTTGAAGCAGTGTATTTGGCTAGAAGCCTTGAAGGCTGGAGCATGGGCTACGTTGCCTATGGTGGGCATCATCAGTGACAGAGATGTGGAGAAGCTCAAGGGGATCTTAAATGACTATCGAGTCCACTTTGGAGTGGACGATAAATCCTTGCAACATTTAGCTAATGATTTGAAGGTACCTGTGGAGCAACTTAAGGCAAGCCTTAAATCTCCAGGTTTATTGGAAAATAAGGAAAAATCAATAAGTGAAATACTTTTGGGATATTTAGAGAAGTTCTGTTCAGCTAATGGAGGTCTCCTTGCTACAGGTCTTTACTTTAGGAAAAACTACTACTTGCAATTTCATTTCCTTGACACAGTGACCCATGATGCCAAAGTTCTCCTTAAAGAGACATATTCAAAAAAAAGTTTGATTTCCCAGTAGAATAAATCCAATGGATGTTGAAATCCAAAATTCATCAGGGAAAAATATCACAGCAGATGTCCCTGAACAATATAATGAGTTTCTCTAGCCATCAGTTCATACTTACAGACTGCATATCCCTGTAGCTGGACCTGAGGCATGGACTATATTTGTATAGGTTCTCATAAGCAAAGAGCTAAATACCCCTCACTCACACTCCCAGTAAATCACTACATCAGATGATTTTGGTTTTGTCATAAATTTGTTTAATATAGTTGCCACCTTGGTATCTGTTTTTAAGCCCGATATAAATTGTTTAAAATCCTGCCCTCTTACCTGCACCCTAGTTAAAATTCCCATATAGATACAACCTCTGGTTGTATAACTTGCTTTTCCCTCATCTCACTGACCCAAGTCCAATACAACCCATAGCTGTTGTCCACAATGCCCACTAGGGTGTGGGGGAGGGGGAGATACACATCTTAGGATTGTAGTGAGCATAATGGGGGGGGGGGGATACATCTAACCCTTCCAAGGGAAAGGCTAAGATATACAATGTAACCCAAAGGGGAAAAAAAAGGGAAAAACAAACAAACAAACAAACAAACTTTTATCGGGTGGTGGGCAAATGGGAGGGGGGAGGAGGAGAAGAATTTACACTTACAAAATAGGTGCGATGCGCACCTCCTGACGGTAGGACATGCTTGATGATTTCGTAAGGTGGGGGGGGGGGAAATGGCAGGGGCAATATTATGTAACCCTAACAATATTTGTATCTCCATAATATGATAAAATTAAATTAAATTAAAAAAACCTAATGATCAACACTAGAGTCATGTAATATGTTCCCCTGCACCTTCTCACATGTTTTCTTTAAAGTAGTAGATCCACAAACCCCAAGGGAAGTCTAAAGCCTTAATGCCCATGGACTGTAACAAATGCAGAGGCCACAGGTTCTTTCTCTCTCCTGCTCTCCACCCGCTGGGTGACCTCCCTGCCACTTCTGTACGTCCTATCGTCCTCCTGTCTGCACCCCTATCCTCTCTGGGAACCTGTGAGTAATCAATTCCTTCTGTTTCACCCATTTACATTTACCATAGGATTTACCTCCCATTGTGTCTTGCCTGAAACACACTCCTAAACCTAACTTTCCCCTCATCAGGGCTGTCCTAGAGAGCACTTATCTTGGCTCATGGCCACTCTCAACACAGGAACCTCAAGACCTAAGTAAAAAGAAGCCATGACAAATGAAATCAGAACAATTCTGATAAATGATTAACCAATTCCTAAGAATCCTATTTAGTCAGAATCCTTTTGGGAAAATAACTGAAGACAATCTATAACTCTGGGTGGAAAGAGTGGGGAACCCCATGAGATTTCTTTGATTGATAACCATCACTGATTGTCATGATGGTGAGGAATTGCTTTAACCTGTATCAGATGCCAATAGGGGCTTAATGAATGCTTGGTGAAAAAAGGTATTTGATGTTAGTATTGGACATTCTCAGTATACCCATGGTAGCTTCATAGCTATTATTGTTAATGTTATTTTTAGTCACTGATAATTTCCTTGTTCATTCCTTGGCCTATCACTTTATTTTCCTCAAAATGAAATACAATAAATGGTTCCTGGATTTGAAAGACTGCAAGAGACACAGAGAGGAAGAAGGAGGAAAGGATTCATTGGTGAGTGGTAGCATCTTGGTCAGTTTGGGCTGCTATAACAGAATGCCATACATTGGGTGGATTGAACAACACAAATTTATTTCATACACTTCTGGATTCTGGAAGCCTGAGATCTGAGTGTCCATGTGGTCAGGAACTTGGGGAGAATAGTCTTTCTAGTTCTGTTGTCACATATCCTTCCTTCATACATGCACACACAGAGATTCCATTGTCTCCCTCTGAAAGCCCCATCTCCTAATATTATCCCCATCTAATAGGATCCCATTGGGGATTAGGTTATTAACATATGAATTTTGGGTTATTCAAGTTATGCATTAAGTACATTTGCTTTCTTAGTAGAACCTGTGATACTCCCCGTCTACCAACACCAAACACTCCAAATTTAAACTCAATTTATGAATATAAATTGAGATATTTGAAAACAACAACAAAAGGAAGAGCAATAGTAGAGAAATGGGAAAAATTTATGTGAAACGAGAGAAGAAAAATATAAAGAAGAGAGCAAAAAATAAAATCATGGGTAGCAGTAGACAAAGTAAGTGTTGGCATGACATTAGGGTGTGGATTACGGACTACGGAATCACAATGGTGGGACTGTTAGGGACAGATGCTGGTGGGCAGCACTACCACAGGAATAGGGAGGGGGACAAACTGAGGAAGACAATGAGCATTTAGAAATAAGCCCACAATAGCATGAACTTGAGGGTAGAGTCTTTTCCCAGCTAGAAGCATGTGCAGACACTAGAGGCTCATGTCCAAGGTGACCTTTTCCTCACTGACATACATTAACATAGTAAAAGCCATGCTCATCAGTGCCATGACAGTTTACAAATGCCATGGCAACCCCTGAAGTTACCTTATAAGGATAAAATTGGAGAGTGCCCTTAGCTCTAAGAACTCTCTCCCCTTTTCCCACAGAAATAATGAATATTCCACCTGGCACTTAACATATCCTAAGGTGTAGACATACAAGTAGAAGTGCGGTAAGACCCCATCGTCTCCTCCACTTGGGAAGACAGATCTGTTTCCCACCAGGAAACGTTCTTTCACTTTCTATTTCTGTGCAAAAATAGCCTTCAATAAAAGCTGCATGTGTGGAAATGCTAAGTGTCTGTCATCACTCAAACCAGCCCAGCTTGTGATTCTTCCAAGCCAGGAGCCAAAGAACTGCGGCAGCACCCCTCAAAAAAAAATCAACCCTGACAGGATCAAACCTGGGGATGCAGTTTAATAGTTCTATGACATCGACTAGCTGTCTAGTTTTAGCAATCACTTGACTCTCTAGTTAGTAATTGTGGTATTTGTACTTAATATTAGCATATCAATAATGATAGAGTAGGCTTAAAGTATACTAAAAGTTGGATAAACAAAAGTAATATGTTTCCTTTCAGAGAAAGATGAAATTGAGGAGGATCAAGTGAGAAATATGGAAAAGGAAGATGGATAATTTTAGCCCATCCTCGTATCTCAGGAATTTGTCGACTCTCTGCTGTCTCTGAGACTGATGGCAGTGGAGCTATGAGTCGGGGTCAGAGGGAACTGGCCGAAGCAGTAGGGACTGTGCTGTTATGAGTCAGGGACCCCTTCACCCTCCTTTCGACAAGTACGACATAATGGGCTTTTGGAGAGTGAGGACAAAGAGGGAACCATATATTTATTGTTGTCATGATACTTAGATATTTACCACAGGACCTAAGCAATGAGTTGCTGTCCATATAAAATAAAGTTGTCTTGATCTTACCTTGGAAAGGAAGAAGAAAAACAACTTCCCCTCTTTTTACACTTTTTTTTTTTTATAAATCAGAGTCTCATTCTGTTTCCCAGGCTAGAGTGTTGTGGCATGAGCCAAGTTCACAGCAACCTCAAACTCCTGGGCTAACGGCATCCTCCTGCCTCAGCCTCCTGAGTATCTGGGAGTATAGGTCCATGCCATGACACCAAGGTAGTTTTTCTATATTTAGTTGAGATAGGGTCTCACTCTTGCTCAGGCTTGTCTCAAAATCCTGAGCTCATGCCATCCTCCCTCCGTGGCCTCCCAGAGCACTATATAACAGGCATAAGCAACTGAGCTGGCTCTTTACTCAATTTTAACCTCCCTTTTCTGGTTTAATCCATCATTTATGATCATCACTGTTCAGAAATATCAACAGTTGGTTGTCAGCTTGCACTTGTGACCTTCACCTTTAATTAACTTTCAGTTTATTCATTCACTCAACAGTTATTTACTGAGCTTGCATGTGGCAGATCCTTGTAGGTGCTTGGGAAACAGTTTAACAGGACAATATCCTTGACCCTACGGTGCTCACATTCTAATGAGTGAGGGGGACAATAAATGAGCAGTAGATGAGTGCATACTTACAGAGAGCAACAAAACTGAAAGCAGTAAGAATGGAGCACAAGCACATGCAATCTGAATTTTGTGAAACCAGTTCTACCTCCCTGGTCCAAGATACCATCATCTTTTCTCAACCCAGAAACTGTCACAGACCAGAAAAGTCTAAGGAAATAAGACAACTAAATGCGTTCAATATCCTGGATTGAATCCTGGAACAGATGAAGGATATTTCTGGAAAACTGATTAAATCTGTATGAAGTCTCTAGTTTAGTTAATCATTGTGTCAATGTCTTAATTTTGAGATATATACTATAGTCACATAGGAAGTCAATATTCAGTCAAGCTAATTGAAGGTTATATGGCAATTCTGGACAATCTTTGCAAATCTTCTGTAAATCTATACTTTTTCAAAATCAAAAATTGTAAAGTCAAATTTACACAGTAGAAAGACCAAATTCCTTACATAACCTGCCAGAGCCCACAGAATCCATCTGTGACCTCTCCCCACAATCTTTCCAAACCAGACCACTGGTTTCCCTGCTCTTCCTTAAATATTACATGTTACAATTCCAGGGCCTTTGAAAGTTCTCTTTATTCTACCTGGAACGATTTTACTGGTATCATAATTGGCTCCTCTACTTCCTTTAAGTGTTCACTTAAAAAATTCCAGATGAAGTTGAACATTGAGGATTGGCTTTTCCATTACAGGGAAAGAAAAAGGCGATTGAAATTTTGATAGAGATTACATTGAATGTAAAAATTACTTTGAGTAATAGTGACATCCTAATAAAATGAAACCTTTGAATCCATGAATATGAGGTGCCTTTCCATTTATTTGGTTCTTCTTCATTTTTTTCAAGTTTTTAAAATAACCTATATCTTTTTAAAAGTTAATATATGCAGTATAGGAAACTGAAAAACACAAGAAGCAAGGAACAAAGTCATCCACAATCACAGTTCACAGTTTGATGTGTCCTTCCAGATTCTGACACGTACACAACATTCAGTTTTATGGGACCGAGATACTACACTAGGTATCATGCTTTTTCAGACATCATGAATATTTACCAATCCAAAATTCCAAAGCTATGTGAGCATTTTGATAACCAAGAATACACTACACCAACTGAATCTGTTAGGAAAAAATGTAATCCTGCCTTTCTTGGGACAAAAATTTCCTAGAAGACAAAAATGGCAATGGGCCACTGAATAAAAGTACTGGCAGAGTTCCAATTAAAATTCTGCATTCCCTTAAGACTCAATTTAAAATCAAACATAAAGCAACAGAATACACTAAGTGCATTGTTTTTGAGAGAATTCACTATCAGATCTATACCATTAAAATATTAGCAAGAAGGTATGTTTCTATTGAATTAATATATTTGTATAGTATAGCCAAAAGGGATGCACATACATCAATGGCTATCATCAAAATGTAAATATG